TAAGGATGGAGTACTGGGAAGCAGGTGACCTCCTCTGTCACTGTCAGACCTGGGCTTTGAGAGACTTCCACCCTGGCCAGTGGCTTTGCCTCAGAGCTTTTCCCTTCCTGAAGCCCCAGATCGACCTGCAATGATCCAGCTCGGTGTCCTCCTTCTCCCCCATTGAAGTCAAGGATCTTGCCAGCAGTGCAGCTCAGATGGAGTCAACACAACCTAGTCACTGACTCTTTGAGGGCCCATGGAACCCAGGATAAGAACCCCTGCTCTAATAGTCCAGAACTAGCTCCAAGATTCACCTTCTTAAAACCCAGCTCTGGGGGCAGCTAGGTGGTGCAGTGGATACAGCACCGGCCCTGGAGCCAGGAGGACCTGAATTCAAATCTGGCCTCAGACATATAATACTTACTAGTTGTGTGACCCTGGGCAAATCACTTAACCCCCACTGCCTATCCCCCCAAGAACAAAACCCAGCTCTGATCACATCCTTGCCCTGCTCAGAATTTGGAGTCAGGATTGTAGGAGTAGTTGGAGAGCTGGAAAGGGACCGTGGAGGTTACCCTGTTCAACCCCCTCCTTTTGGAATTAGAAAGGGCAGTCCATAGCGGGAAAGGGATTTGTCCAAGGTCATACAGCTGCAATCTGGATACAGGTCACCTGGGCTCCTGTCTCACTTCCACCATATTTGTGTGAGCTTGGGCAAGACTCATCCACTCCTGAGCCCCTGCCTTCCCAACTGCAAAATGAGTTGGCCTAGATGTCCTCCCAAGTCCTTTCCAGCTCCTTAAGCCTCTCTGACAACCATACTCCCTCGCTATACAAGTTTGGTCATCTTACAACCTCTGATATGTGAAGATTTTATTTATATCTCTGACCGGAGGCTATGGATGGGCATGCCAGCAAGAAGCAAGATCTGGAGGTGCTGGTAAAGTTCTACAGGCTTCTAGTAAGATCCTGGAGACATAGTAGGGAACCGCTGTGCCCAGCCAAGTGCAGCCTGGAACATACTAAGTGCTTAATAAATGTTTGTTTATTGACTGATCAAAAGCCCCATGACCAGAGGTGGCTACTGGGTGATGAGTTCTGTGGCCATGGCAGTGCATGAAAAAGGCTAGGGAAAAAAAAATCACACAAACACAGTTTACAAAAGAAAGAAAGAAATCACAGCTCGTAATTAAGAAACAAACATCCCCAAAAAGGGCTAAAGGCTGATAAAGTACTCAGTGATCTGAATGATGACAGGAAAGAGGTGGAAGGCAGTGGATGTGGCTGGCACAAAAAGTTAGCAAAAAACAAAATATGACTTTGTCCCAGAGGACAAAAAAGAACTGGTTACTGACATGGGAATTACTTCAGAACCAACGCTTGGTGCAGTCAGACCAGTCACCATTTAAAAAATCCAGATGAAAGAACTTTGCATAGAACCCCAATCCTAACAGTTCCACCTAATCTATTTAAATGAGATTGTTAACAAACAAAAATAAAGACATTAAGTCCAATTATTATGTATGAGATAAATTGATCTGAAATAAAACAGGTGCCACAGTGAGGAGGCCCCAAATACCTCCTTGGACAACAACAAACATGACTTCCTTGCAAGCAGAGATGGGTGAGCTAAGGACAATACTGTTTGTTTGTTTGTCTGTTTTCTGGTTAATTTATTTATTTTTAGTTTTCAACATTCACTTCCCTAAGACTTTGAGTTTTAATTTTTCTCCCTCTCCCATTCCTCTCTCCCCCATCAAAAGCAGCATGCAATCTGATATAGGCTCTACTTATACATTCAGATTAAGCATATTTTCCCATTAGTCATGATGTAAAGAACAATTAGAACTAATGAGAGGAACCACGAGAATGAAGCAATGAAGCAATAAAGCAAAACAACAAAGGAAAAGGAGAGCAGATAGTGGGCTTCCATCTGCATTCAGACTCCTTAGTTCTTTCTCTGGATGTGGATAGCATTTTCCATCATGAGACTTTTGGAGATGTCTTACATCCTTGCATTGCTGAGAAAAGCCAAGTCTTTCAAAATTAGTCATTGCACAATGTGGCTGTTACTGCATACAACGTTCTCCTACTTCTGCTCATTTCCCTCTGCATCAGTTCATGTAAGTTTTTCCTGGGTTTTTTTTTAGTCTGCCTGCTCATCATTTCTTATAGCACAACAGTATTCCATTACATTTATATACCACAACTTTTTCAGTCATTCCCCAATTAATGAGCACCCCCTCAATTTCCAATTCTTTGCCACCACAAAGAGAGCTGCTATAAATATTTTTGCACATGTGGGTCCTTTTCCCATTTTTATGATCTCTTTGGGATACAGAGCTAGAAGTGGTATTGCTGGGTCAAACAGTATGCACAATTTTATAGCCCTTTGGGCATAGTTCCAAATTGCTCTCCAGAATGGTTGGATCAGTTTACAACTCCACCAACAATGCATTAGTGTTCCAATTTTCCCACATCTTCTCCAACATTTATCATTGTCCTGTTTTGTCATGTTGGCCAATCTGATAGGTGTGATGTGGTACCTCAGAGTTGTTTTGTTTTACATTTCTCTAATCAATAGTGATTTAGAATGTTTTTTCATATGACTATTGATAGCTTTAGTTTCTTCCTCTGAAAACTGCCTGTTCATATCCTTTGACCATTTATCCATTGGGAAATGACTTGTATTCTTATATTTGACTCAGTTCCCTATATATTTTAGAAAGGAGGCCTTTATCAGAGATACTGGTTGTAAAAATTCTTTCCCAGTTTTCTGCTTCCCTCCTAATCTTGGTTGCATTGGCTTTGTTTGTACAAAAACTTTCCAATTTAATGTAATCAAAATTATCCATTTTGCATTCCATAATGTTCTCTATCTCATTTGGTCATAAATTCTTCCCTTCTCCATAGATCTGAATGGTAAATTATTCCCTGTTCTTCTAGTTCGCTTACAGTATCAGTCTTTATATTTAAGTCCTGTACCTATTTTGACTTTATCTTGGTACAGGGTATAAGATGTTGGTCTATGCCCAGTTTCTGCCACACATTTTTCCAGTTTCCCCAGCAGTTTTTGTTAAATAGTGATTTCTTATCCCAGAAACTGAAGTCTTTGGATTTATCAAATAGTAGATAAGTATAATCATTGACTGTTGTGTCTTGCATACCTAACTTATTCCACTGATCCACCACTCTATTTCTTAGCCAGTACCAAGTAGTTTTGATGATTGCTGCTTTATAACTCAATTTAAGATCTGGTACAGCTAGACCACTGTTGTTTGCATTTCTTTTCATTAGTTTCCTTAATATTCTGGACTTTTTGTTTTTCCAGATGAATTTTATTAATGTTTTTCCTAGCTCTATAAAATAACTTTTTGGTAGTTTGATTGGTATGGCACTGAATAAGTAAATTAGCTTAGCTAGAATTGTCATTTTTATTATATTAGCTCAGCCTACCCATGAGCAACTGATATTTTTCCAATTATTTAGATATGACTTCATCTGTGTGAAAAGTGTTTTGTAATTGTGTTCCTGGTTTTGTTTTCCAAATATTTTATAATGTCTGCAGTAATTTTAAATGGAATTTCTATTTCTATCTCTTGCTGCTGGGCTTAATGTTGGTAATATATAGAAATGCCAATGATTTGTGTGGGTTTATTTTCTATCCTGCAACTTTACTAAATTTGTTTATTATTTCAAGTAATTTTTTACTTGATTCTCTAGGATTCTCTAAATATACCATCATATCATCTGCAAAGAATGATAGCTTTGTTTCTTCTTTGCCTACTCTAATTCCTTCAATTTCTTTTTCTTCTCTAATTGCTACAGCTAACATTTTTAGCACAATATTGAATAACAGTGGTGATAATGGAAACAATACTGGCTTCAAATGAAGCTTATGTGTCCAATGGCGTGAAAGAGGACAACTGAAGATTATAAGGACTGACTGCTTGTCTAAGAAGCGATAAGCACGAGGTGGGAAAATGAACCTAGAAGACACTTGGTGTGAAACCCCACATCACCGTAGGAGGATCTGTGGACCAAAGTGGAAGGACAACACAAACAGGCGTGGAAACAATTGCTAGTGCTTCTTTGTTCTTGTTCAGCCGTGTTTGACTCTTGGTGATCCCATTTGGGGTTTTCTTGGCAAAGATACTGGACTGGTTGGCCATTTCCTTCTCCAGCTCATTTTTACAGATGAGGAAACTGAGGCAGAGTCATTCAGCCGGTAAGTGTCTGAGGCTGCAGTTGAACTCCAATCTTTCCAACTCCAGGCCTGGTGTTCTAACTACTGCATGATCTCACTGCCCAGATCATTTCCACAGCTGCTCTACCAGAATGGCTAGCAGAACCAACACGCCTGAGCTCCACCACGCCTCTAGATGAAGGAATCTGGGAGTCCAGCTGGGCCTGACCAAATACAGACTAAATTGTCCTGGCACTTGGGGTCAAATTTTGTTGTTGGGTGTTTTTTTTGCTTTTTGGTGAGGTGATAGGGGTTAAGTGACTTGCCCAGGGTCACACAACTAGTAAGTGTCAAATGTCTGATATCAGATTTGAACTCAGGTTCTCCTGACTCCAAGGCCAGAGCTCTAAGTCCACTGCGCCACCTAGCTGCCCCAGGGGTCAATCTTAAAGAACCAGGGTGGGAGGATTCCAGAAGAATGGAAAGGAGGAAAACAAAAAACACCCAGGAGTCAGGAGGACTTGAGTTCAAATCCAGCCTCAGACACTTACTAGCTGTGTGACCCTAGGCAAGTCACTTAACTTGATTGCCTCAAAAAACAAACAACAAAAAAACCAAAAAACAGAAAGCAGCACACAGTACAGCCTTATTACCAAAACCATGATTCCGTTCATCCCAGAATAATACATATTTCTTTATATAATGTGAAGTCCTTAAGGTCAGGGATTATCTTTTTCTCTAAGTCTTCATGTCCTCAGTACCTAGAGCAAGGTCTTAATCATAGCTGATACTTAATGTTTGATAAACTTAAAAAAAAAAGACAATTGAGAAGGCATCAGTAAGGACCCATCAATATACCAGTTTTCTCATCTCAATGAAATCTTGATGAGAATGGTCAATAACCCAATCCATATATTAAGGACATCCTTTCAAGAAAAGATTTTATTGTTACCTTTTGTTTCTATGATACTCTTTCCCCTTAAAATTCCCCACTGAGACCTTGCTATCAAATCTTTCCTTGAAACAAAGAAAAACATTTAAGCAAAGATAACTTACAGAGTAATGGCATCTGACAGTGTGTGTAACAAATCCCACACCTGCAATTCCCCCACCCTCAGCCCCTTTCATCTCTACTGAAAGGAAAAAGGGGTTTCATATTCAGGATATCCTTGGGGGGGAAAAGGAGGGAAAAAATAGAGTTTTCAGAAGCTTTTCCATTGCTGACCACATCATCACAGTCACACAACCTGAAGAAATAGAGAGAATATGAGATTCTGCTATATTTATTGTCTGATGATTTCAAATGACCATTTGCTTCAGTAGAACAGACTGTAACCTTCCATGGTGTCTTATAAGATCTTTCTCACAAATACATTACAGGATTTCTTGATAAAAGCAGTTACAGGGACAACTTTGTTCAATGAATCACTTACTATCAATCATAAATCAGGGAGATATGTTGTCATTGATAGCTGTCACATACCAGGTTCACGTGGACAAAGGGTTACCTGTAGAGAATGAGATTCTATTGACGCTCCTCTTTCTAAGGACATAACACTGTTTTCACCAAGTGCTAGAGCCTCCTCCAAGAGACAAATGGCCACTAAAAAAAGATCAGCCTAGCAACCCAAACAGGAAAAAAAAAAAGTGGGTGAAAAATGCATGTTGTCCAGATTATGACATGCAAGCTGGTTGGGCAGTCTACAGAGGTAAGCCCATCAGTGCATTTGTCTTGGACAGACACTACAGATGGACAAAGAACAAGAGCCAAAAACTGAACAGAAGGACAGTGGGTAGGAACATATTTAGCAGTTTGTACAGTAGGAGGCTTTCAAGTTACTGTCTGCCGTCCAAGTCCTGATTCTCCCAGTAATGTTCAGTGACTATAATTCACAAAAAGAATTGGAAAGAATTGACTGTGTGTGGCGTGCACTGAAAGTCACCTCAGGAAATAGAACTCTTTTTTGCTCAGTCACCTTTCAGTCGTGTTCAGCTCTGGGAATTATTTTAGAATCAACTCGTTTGTGCAGTCAGATCATCTGCCACTTAAAGAAAGCAGAGGTCAAGGCCAACACCAACTTAGAAGAAATGGTAAAGCTGAGAGGACACACCAAATTCAATCCTAACAGCTCCAACCTGACCTTGTGTTTGCTCTGTTGGTTCAGTCCTGTCAGACTCTCTGTGACCCCATTTGCGGTTTTCTCGGCAAAGACACTGGAGTGGTTTGCCATTTCCTTCTCTAGTTCATTTTACTGATGAAGAAACTGAGGCAAACAGAGTTAAGTGACTTGCCCAGGAATCCTAGGCTGTTTGCTATTCAGAAACAAAACTTAGGCCTACTTCAGAACTCTCCTCACCTAATTATCAACTAGACCAGTGGAGTCAAATTCAAGTACAAACAGATCACGTAAGTTGATCCCCTCCCCCAAAAAGAAACCCTACAAATTAACTTATTTTTTTGTTTTAATGTATTTTTATTTACTTTGTTAAATATTTCCCAGTTCCATTTTATTCTGGCTCACAAAGCAATCAGGAATTGTTGCTGGCTGTGAGTCTGACCCCTCAGCACTTGACTCTTCTAAGATTCCCTTACATTTATTCTATATGTATATCTTGTATGTACATAGCTGTTTCCATGTTGTCTCCCCACTAGAATGTGAACTCCAGAGGGCAAGTACCATACTGACTTCCTGTGTACCCATTCCTCAGGGCACACAGCAAGTGCTTCATAAATACTTACCTGGCTGCCTGTTTCCCCCCCAACACCATGGCTCTCTGTGTATAACTGGCCTGTGGCTCTGCAACATCAATTCTCAGCTCTCTCCAAAAAATACTTCTCAAAATTCTGTCCCAGAATTCAAGGCCCAGGTCTCCCATGACTGGGGTGAAGTAACTAGAGGAAGTTACTGGGCCTTTCCATTTCCTTCTGCCTAATAAGCCTGGCAATCTCTCCATCCTACCTTCTTTCTGAGATTTGCTGTGAAAGGGGGAAAGGATGGTTAGGAGTGATGTGCTGGTCAACCTTAGACAATGAAAGAGGCACCTTGGCATCTTAGGGATGGTAGGAATCAATGCAACGAAACCCCCCTCCTCCATCTGACAGCTAAAGGAGGCCCAGAAGCAGAGGCAGCCTGCCCATGACACAGTCCCAGAGCCCAGAGTAACAGGTCAGGAACCAGACCCCAAGGCTTTTGACTTCCCTTGCCAATGCTATTCACACTTTGCCCAATGGAAAACTGTAGAAAAACATTTCTTTTGCTTTCAAATGTTTGTTCTCTCCAGATCAGATCTGTGAATTAATTACTGTTATGGAGCTCCCAGAGAGAAGTTTTCTCTACCAATATCAATATAGGCACTTTCTCTACAACTGAATCTCAGAAAGTTGTCTGGAGCATTGAGAGGTTAAGTGATCTTGCCCTTAGCAGGATGTATCCTCTCAGCTCTATACATACATACATACATACACACACACACACACACACACACATATACACACACACACATACATATATATACTTATACACACACACATACATATATATGTATATATAGTGGTAGAGGCCAGTGCTATCCACTATACCGCACTGCCTCTCCTTTCTCAGGCCAATTAGATAACTTGTCTATGACACACCCACTCTATCAATAGGTCCTTTCAATAAAACAACTGGCCAAGTCAAACTCCACTCCACTTCGCCCCTCCAAATTCAACTAAAAGGACATCATGGGAATCAAGGGGTGTGTATGTACAGTGTCCTCAGCCATTATCTAATATGGAACACACACATACACACACACACACACACACACACACACACACACAGATGCACACAGCTCAAAGGAAAGAGACTCTAAGAAAAAACTAAGGGGAACACCTCTAAACCAGAAATGCAAAAAACAGCATAAACCTTCCCCCAGCCCCCCATCCTTTCTTTTTGAATGTTTGGTTTTTGTTAGATGGGTGTTTTTAAAAAAACGCCCCAAGGAAACCACTTTTCAAAGTTTCAGATCAGCCTGGGGCTGAGCAGGGAGTCAAAACTGTTTCTATTTGATAACACTTAGCTTAGGGTCACTTTCTATCCACCCTTTTAGCCCTCTCCCTTGCTACAGACAAGGCTGGCCTCCCAACCTGGGGAAGTCCTGCTGTGGCCCCCTTTCTGAATACAGCGCAATTTTGAGCTTTTGAGGTCAAAGACAAACTTCAGAGGGCACCGAAGAACCCTCAGCGGCAACCTCCAAAATTCCTTTCTTCTTAATCTTCAGGATCAGTTTAGACCATGACGGATCTGTCTATACTAAATGAGGGTAATCAGACAAAAAATGCACACGTTTTGCTCGAGACAACAGCACTTTATAATTATCAACTACTTTCCTCATCTCTATTCTGGGAGAAAATAGTTGTGAATTGCCCAAGGATGACCAGCTGCTAAATGACAGAGGAAAGACCTGGAACCCAGGTCTTCAGACTAGATCAGAATTCTTGGGTCTTTCCTTTATACTCCACCTAAGCTCTCAGGTGTGTGAATCATCTTTCTAGTAAACTGAGATGACAGACAAAATCTGCTTCAGGTTCTTGATAGAATAACCACTGAGTCTCAACTACTTATAAAACCCGCCATCAAATCCACCTGCTCCCATAGAGACCCTCTGACACCATCCTTGCTTCTTATAGTGACCACCCCACCCCCACCATCATCTCCATTACCTGGTCTTCCTCAAACCTCTGTCACGAATTTCTTTCCCCCTTTTTCTACTGTTATTGACCCTCCTCTTCCCCTTGCCAATCAGGGATATCACCACCCCTGCCTACCACCACCCCCATGTCATCTTCCCTACTCACCTCTCCTATCTCACTCTCATTACTTCTTCCCTCAAATAACAGGAATCACCTCTTCCAAACACAACTACCTTTACGTTCTATCACTACTAATTACATCTCTTTTCCACCCCCTTCCTTCACCATTACCACCTCCTCGTTCATCACCAACCCTCTCCAACCCAAAAAACTTCTCATCACCTTCTCCTCTCTGACATCACTCCTTCCCCATCCTCCCTGGCATCTCCTCCCTGCCATCACAACTCCTTTCCCATCCTGCTTCTCCCAGCCATCACTTCCTCCCCCTTCCATCATTTCTTCTATCACTTCCGCCTCCCAGTTACCAAATCCCACGGAAACGTCCCCCACCCCCCATCTTCGAAGGCAATGTGTGTGGCATAGTGGAAAAAGCACTTGAACCTTGGGTCACTGATTTTGTGACCTTTGTGTAGGACGAGTCCCCTCTGCTCCCCTCCTTGGGCCTCAGTTTCCTGTTCAGTAAAAGAAGGGGGCTGCCCAGATGGCGCTGAGGTCCCTTCGAACTTGTGTGACCCTCGGGCACTTGTGTCCTCCCCTCCAAGGGCATCGGCTTCCCGCTCCGTAAAACTAGGGGGCTCCCAGCGGTCCGATCGGCCCCTAGGTCACTGCCCCCGCCCCGACTTCATCAGTGCCCCACCCTCGCCCCATCTACCGCACAGAGGTGCGCGCAGGACCACACCCAGGTGGGAGGCCAGGCTGGATCCGCTCACCAGACCGGCCGGGGGTCACTCGCCCCCGGGCCGCCCACCTCGCCCCCAGTGCCCTTTCCCTCTCTCCGTCTAAGACCTGCTCGGAGGGAGCTCCGCGCACCCACCCTGCCGCCAGAGTGAGCGCGTCCGGCCGTCAGCCGGGGCCGGCTCCGCGCCCGCCGCCCCGCCGCCCCGCCTCCCGTCCCCGCCCGGCCCGCCCGGCCCGCGGCCCCCCCGCCGCCGCCCGAGCAGCCACCGCCTCCCGCCCCGCCGCCGCCGCCCCGCGGCCCCCAGCCCCACCGCTCCGAGGCCCCGGGCCCCTGTCCGCTCACCACTATCGCCGACACCACAGCCGAGCCGCCCGAGGCCTCCGAAATGGCCCGGGGCGGCGGCCAGAACTGGACCTCCGGGGAGGCGGAGGGACGGACCGAACCCCCCCGAGCCCGAGTGAGTGGTGCGGTGTGCCGCGGGAAGGGGTGCCCAGGCGAGGGATCCCCAAGGGGGAAGGGATCTTCAGGGGGAACAGGGGTCCCTAAGGGGAAGGGGTGCCCAGGGGAGAGATCCCCAAGTGGGGAAGGGGTGTCCAGGGGGAACGAGGGTTCCATTGGGGGAAGGGGAGCCCCAAGGGGAAGGGGATCTTCGGGGGAACAGGGGTCCCTACGGAGAAGGAGTGCCCAGGTGAGGAGGTCACCGAGGAAGGGGAAGCCCTTAGCGGGAGGGGTAGCCCGCGGGGCAGGGGGGAGGGAAGCGCCCGGGGCGGGGGGAATCCTCCTCCCCCCAACCTTGGCCAAAGCTCCTCCGTCCGCGCAGCCCTCGGGAGCCTCCGCGAACGTTCTAGGGCCACTGTGGCGTCACCAGTGCGCGGAGGAACCTTCCGCCGGCGACCCATAAAAGCGGCCGCGGAGGTGCCCGGGGGTCGTCTGTGCAACTGACACAGGACAGGGGCGGGTGGGAGGCGACCGCGACAGCTGGGGGCGTCCTCGGGCGGGGAGCCGCGGCCGCTGCCGGGAGCTCCGGGAGCTGCGGCTGCGGGCCGGGGCCGGCGCCGGAGCTAGCCGGGTAGCTGGGGCTGCGGCTGGGCGGCCGGACCGACTTGGGGTCCGAGGGCGGCAGCAGTCCGCGCCCCTTGGGCAGCCGCCGCCGCCGCCTTCTCAGCCAGTCCGTCCGGTCGTCCGGCCCGTCTCTCCCCGGCTCCTCGGGGCTCCTTCGCCCGCCTGACCCACCGTCCCCTCCCGCAGAGCAAAGATGGTGAAGGAGACCAAGTATTATGACATCCTGGGGGTGAAGCCCAGCGCCGCCCACGAGGAGATCAAGAAGGCTTATCGGAAGCTGGCCCTCAAGTACCACCCGGACAAGAACCCAGACGAAGGCGAGAAGGTGAGGCGGGGGGGGGGTGAGGTGCGGTACCCCCCCCCCGGGGTCCTGCCCCAGGCCGGGCGGAGGAGGATGAGGGAGAGGGATGGAGAGGACGCGGCCGGCCGCCGGCGTCCCGCGCCCCCCGGCCCTGGGCGTTGAAAGTTGACGGGGGAAGAATCTTTAATCATTGAGACCCCAGGAAACGGGAGCCCGGCTGGAGCTGTGGGCACAGGGCGCAGGAGAGGAAGAAGGGGGAAGGAACTTTATCAAAAGCGGGCAGGGTTTAATCGTGGTCTGTGGGCACCTTCAGCGCGGCTGGGCCGGGACAGCCGGTAACTGTCAGCCCTAGCAAGCATTTCTCAGGGTGCAGAATTACCCGCAGGACCAACGATCTTTTTTTTTTTTCCTCCATGGGAGAACAGTAGCCGCGGTGGCTCTGTCAGGGTCAAAGCTGTCACCTTGGGAAAATCAGGGGGATGAGTGGAGGAGGACCGGCACGGATGGTCATCAAAAAATAAAAAAAAAACCAAAACACAACTTTTCACAAATGTTTATATACAGAGCTTTAAACGGACACAGAGTAGTCTAAGAAAAGCTCAAAAGTGAACATAGGATAGTTATAACAGTAACCTCATTTATACAAAACCGTAATGTTTTTTACAGAGGACAAATTCACTTAGTTTCTCTATGGTCACAAATGAGGTACATGTCAGTATCCAACTCTCCCCCATTAATTAAGCTGAGAAAATTTTGCCAGGTGTAAAAATGAGAACTAGAAACCGTAGAGCCAGATGTTAGCCTGTAATATCAAGGTGGATGCTGAGACTAGTGAGTCTCCAGGACTCAGTGACTCAGTGACACGTATATAGTAGGGCTAAAGCCAGAATTGAGTGTTCTCACTAAGCAGCACCGTGGTGAGCTTGGGGTGAGAAGGGTGGGCCACTCCACTGGGGTCAAAAGCTTCCTTCCGGTCTCTGGGTTGGGCTGATAAGGAGCCCCCTTCATTTCCAACCTGGGTGATCCAGAGACCCAGTCTCAAATAAACAAGCAAACAAGAGGAACGCTTTCTGTACAAGTGCTGGATTTCATACTTTTGATGGTTACTGTCCCCTGACCTAAAACAAAAAGATGACTGTCACACACTACATTCTGGAGAAAGGCACCATGGTCCTTCTCCTTCCCCGGATCAGATAAAGTGTGTCCTTTATGCTTTGTCATTTTCAAGTAAGCTCTGTGGGCTTCCTGCTCCTTTGGTCTGAAGCTGGCTCCAGGGGGCACTTGAAGCCGGCTAGCTCGCCACAGTTAACCATAGGCTTCTGTTTAGTACCTATGGCAACAACCAAGCTATCAAAATCCCTGTCTGCCTTACTCATTTCAGAGTGGGAGCTGCTTCAGAGCATTTGCCTGGGCACTGATGGAATATTTATATTTAGCTACGTGTACTTTATGTGAACAGTGGCCATCGTCACAAGTTTAAAATACTTGCTGTTAGGCCATTTGTCTCTTGCCCACTTATGTTCATTCTCATCTATATTTAGGGGACGACTAATTTTCTGTTGTCTTACGTAGGTCATTTTAACGTCTCATGTGCTGCTTGCTAGTCAGCTCTAAAGATGCAGTCGGCATCATGGATGATCTTATTTCTTGTTCTTGGAAAATGTGATTCAAGATTCTTAAAGGCTTTATAAACAAACTGAGTTGTAATTTTCCAAAATGGTCATCTTAGATTGCTTTTTCAAAGCACATGATTTTTGGTCCTTATCAATCCCCAGATCAAAAACCTCACAGCCAAACAAGATAAAATATAGAATCCTTAACCTCTCTGGCATTTAAATCATCCAGCCTCCTTTCCCATTATTCCCCTTCAAATATTCAGCTGGTCCATTCTAGCTTGGCAGAGTTTTGGCTAGAATTCTAGCTGGTCTCAGTTCTGCCACTTCCTAGTGCCCATTTGCTCCCTGCAGTCCCCTCACACTCTACAAATTCACCTTCAGCCATAAGCCCCTTTTTCTTGAAGAAATCTTTCCCATTTAGCTCTGCCATTCACTCCTTCCTCCCCCTCCCTTCCCCGGCAGAATGTATTCCTTCTCTTTAACCTTAGGCATTCACTAAGTTAATTCTCTTTTACTGTGAAGGATGTCATTGAGGTCCACCTCTTTTGAATTATACCTATCCCTGCTGGTGGAAAGCAAGTTCCTTCTTGAGGGCAGTGCCAACCATTGCTTTATGGGATTCTAGGTAGGGTTGGCTAAGGAAATATTTGTGCAGGTTGTTTTATGTATTAACATTTTCGATGTTTATATATAATTCTTTGGCTGTACTAGAATATTTTCATAATTGAGTGTTGAAGTAAGTGTCAGTATAGAGGCTTAGAGACCCATTTTAGTTAGCTTTAAGATACTGCACACACCCCACCCTACCCCAAACCTACCCGTGGCCTAATTTATCCAAGGTTGTCTTCTTGAGTTGGTTTTAAATATGGGTCTGAAGGGGGGGGGGGCACGGGGAGAGTTAGGGACTAGCTTGTCCTTTCCAGCTTGTCCTTATCTAAGACTAAGGAAGAGAATCACAGCTTGAGTTGGAAGGGATTTGCTAGCCAAACCTTATTTTTTACAGATCGGATGAAGTGAACTTGCCTAAACTAAGATCATGACACAGTTAGTAAATAAAGTAAGAGCTGGAATTGGAACTCAAGTCCTCAGACTCCAAATCCAATATCCCTTTTCTAAGTCTATGGGAAAAGCTCTCAAGTGGAAAGCACCAAATGGCACCCGCTGCTGTATCTTAGTGGAGGAAACAGGCAAGAACATTACACCATGTTAGAGAAGAAATCCTAGTCCAGACCCCTCATGTCACAAAAGAAGGGAAAAGTGAGTAGTGGACTGGCACACTTAATGAGTATAAGAGGCAAAAAAAAAGGAGATGGGGGTTTTCACAAGGGAGAATAACAAGGCCCATAACTTGGATGGCCTCTGCGGAGGATGGTTTCTCTGACAAACTCCAACCCCAGAGTTCTTGTGGGAGGAAATGGTGAGGCGACACTTGAAAGTCCTGACGCAGCTACCAAATCTGGTTTCTTCTGTCAGGGCTCCTAATCCGCTGTTTTGTTCTTATTCATGACACACAGTGAAGAGAGTAAGCCCTCTTTCCCTCCCTCCCCCAGTGCAAGGAAGGCTTGCGGCTCCTCATTCCATCTTGTTGTGGGTTGTTGCTAAGTATCAGCATTACTTGGAAGCTGGGCTTCGTGGTCAAGCTGTTTGTATACAGACTCCACCAGCTTAGGGCCAGCAGTGTAACTGGGGGAGATCAGAATATATAGTATCAGTGAGGCAGCAAGTCAGCTTGGGCCACTTTTAATTTTTATAAGCTAAAACGACCCATTAGTGGGCAGGGCTCAGTTATTTGTAGATGGAAGTACCGACCAAACTTTGGAGGTACTGATGACGCTGGGGCCAGTTCCATTGTCTTCGTCTCTTTGGCCATAGTATTCAGACTGAATGTCTAGTGCTAGAAGAAGCCACAGACAAGCTATTTAGTGTTTAATTTAACATACTTTAAAACTATGTGCAAAAAGTTCAGTGTCATGTACAAATCCTCTTTTCTGTTCGTTATATGTTTAATGGGTTCATGCTTGTTTTTAAAGTTCATAATAAACACAAAAATTTAAAAGTTTGAACTTCTCTATACTTTTTATCTTTAAATGACAAATTACCAGTGGTTTGAAGGGCAAACTTATCGAAGCACTTAACTTCACTTACTACAGTGAAAAAAAGGGCTATTTAAAGCTACTAAAACTATCTGAGCCTGAATCAGCCTTATCCTCGTGGGTAGTCAGTTAATGTTTTTCATTGTGATTTTTATGGTGGACTTAGCCATTGTGAGTTTGAGACTCACCAGTTTCTGAGGGCAGCTTGACCTGAGTTTCAGTTCCAAAGTCCTAATTCTCTTTGTGTTATTTAAGGTGCTACGTGTTTCCCTGTCTGCAAAAGGGGGCTGATAATAGCTACTTCCTCAAAGAAATAACGTACAAATAAATGCACAGAAACATTTCAGCTCTATCAC